TTGTGCTCTGGTGTGGTCTGAAGTTCACCACTGGATGTGTTGGTTCTGGGGCCTCTTGAAAGGGACCCTGGTACAGGTCAATGTCAGACACTGCCTGTAACCGGCCTTGGGCTACATGTCTGGAGTTGTTAGGCAATCCACAGTTTGTGGCTGCCTCTGCTGGGACTGGGTGCACATGGGAGAGGCCACCCTGCATACCAAGGCTGGCTTCCACCAGCTGCGAGCAGGGGCAGGCCAGCCAAAGGCCCGGTTGGCCCGGAGATCTCCTGTCTGTTAGGCTCAGTCACCGGAGGAGCTTCTGATGGTAGGTGAGTCACGTGAATTGCATGAGATAAGTTCTCAGTGAGTCACCAGGTATGGACAAGTTGTATTCACCAGGTAGATACAGATTCAAACACAGTACCAGTGCTGGGTCTCAGGGTGCACCAAGGCCAGCTGCCACCCAGCCGGGACCTGGGGACCTTTGTGATGGGGCAGGGTCACAGGGTCATCAGGAAGAGGCTGGCAGAGTTCACCAGACTATAACAGACCGAGATTTGGCCATGTGCTGGGAGGGCTCCTCAGAGGAATGTAAGCGCCTCTCAGGTGCAGGGGGCAGAAATGGCCCCCCTCCAGCTTCACAGCTCAGTCTCTTCACCCGATTCTGGTGCTGTTCGAGCTGCCCGGTCATCCTCAAGAGTTCCTCAGTAAGGCCTGCTCTCCGGCTCAAGCTGGAGTCCCCCAAAGACCTCTCACTGGGAGTGACCCCTGCTTGTGGCGCTCCAGACATCAGGAGAAATGCCATTGCCACTCCTCGGGCTGATGTTCAGAGGGGAAAGCTTGGTCCAGGAAAGATGACGTCGTGGGTGGTGTGGGAGAGAGATCAGCACAGGGTCCCTGCCACTGTCACTTCAGCCCCTCCCCACAGCCCCGCCGCTCAATCTCTCCCTTATGACTCTAGTCCATTCCGAGCCGCCGTCCCCTGCAAGGCCCAGGGTGAGTGTTCAACTGAGGTTCTGCGCACTGGGCCTTCACGGGAGCCATCCCTTCTCCCCGGAGCTGTGGAATCCCGCTGGCTTTATAGCCAGACATAGTGTGTGTTCCTCTTCCTGGCTCTGGTGCGCCAGGCTAGGACCCTGCCCTGGGCTGAGGCCCCTCGCTCCTCCGGGAGGGTCCTCCTCAGCCAAGATGCCCTCTGGGCCGCCGCTTGCTGTCTGGGTGTGGGGCCAGCCCCTTCCAGGCCTGTGCTTTTCCTCCTGGTCCCGATGCAGGTTCCCCTGGAGACCCTTCCTACCAGCTAGGCTGCGGATGGTGCTTCAGGTTGATTGCTCTGTACTTTAGCTGCTGCTCTGCTGTGGTCCTGAGCGGAGGTGAGTGCAACTTCACCTGCCTGCTGCCATCTTGCAGGCTCTTGGCATTTCTTGAACCGCCTTTAACCCCTGACCTCCACCCCACCCCACACACGATGCTGCAGGAGACCCAGAGGCCACATTCCTCTGGAAGCTGACCATCCTTCTAGACAAGTTTTTTGAGTTTGAGGCCAAGGACCCCGCAGACATCTTTCACTGTCCTCCAGCCTTTTCTGGGCATTGATCTTATCATCAGGCACGTTGAGATTTGCTGCTACGACTTAGAGATTTCACAGTTGTGTGAAGGGAAAACACGAAAGTATTTGGTTTCCCCCAGGTTTGCACGAATTTTACAAATTAAACACCTGCTGTTATAGCACGATTTATGCCAAAAAAGAAAAAGTAAAGTTTGAAGGGTTCCTTCACCAGCCTTGTGACTGAGAGAGTAGAAAACCTTGTTGTACCTTCAACCCACATTAAAATACAGTCAGAGTGCTCTGTGACTTGGCGGAGACATTCTATGTAGTGAAGGACGGTCTCTCTCCTTTGCGTTTGCAGAAGCTCTGGGTGGGGGCCTTTGTTGAGGGAGCCGCTGGGAGGACTTGAACTCAGGGTCCTTGAGTCCAGAGACATCTGGTCCAGGGGTGCAGGCTCTGGTATGCTGAGGTACTTCCTTTATCCCCAGTAACCCACAAACCAGTCCTGGGGGGAGGGGTTGGGCACTGGCATCATGTTTTTAAAACTTTGCAGGTGAGCCTAATGAGAACACAGGTCGAGTTTAATCCCTGCCATTTCTAAAAATATTTTTTCTTCATTGCTTTTAGAGGGAGAGAGAGATAGAAACATCAGTGAGAGAGAACATCGACTGACCGCCTCCTGCATGACCCCCACTGGGGATCGGCCCACAACCTGGGCATGTGCCCCGACCGGGAATCGAACCGGGACCTCTCAGTTGGTGGCGTGACGCTCGAGCCTCTGAGCCACTCCGGCCAGGCCACATCCACTTGTTTTAAACATCACCCAGACAAGCAGATGTTTAGCCATTTTGAGCCTGCCTGCTTTGCATTCCCCATGAAACTGTACCCAACATCTGCCAGCCATGGGTAACCCAGGTCACAGAGACCCCGAGCTCTGCTGTCCTTCGGTGCTCTCTGTCCCCGAGCTCCCCACTGTGTGACTGAGTGCATCTCCCAGACACACAGCCCCCTTCCCTCCCCTCTCCCTCAGCTCCGCGCCCTCCTCTCCCCTAAGCAGCAACCGCCACTGAGCGGCCAGACTCCTACAGCGAGGGCCCCCGGAGTAGCCGGTCCGAGCGCCACGCAGTCACGCCTGAGTGCCTCTGCCACCTCGTGCTCACTCTTCACTCCCCGAAAGGCACCCAAACCCCCGGGACCTCTTTCCAGTCTTCCTTCGGAAATCAGCTAGCCCAAGTCCCCTGTCCGCTCACATTTTCTGATCCAGGTAACACATTAACTTCTATTGATTTAGCAGTGGCTAATTCATGTATTCATCAAACATTGACTGAGCACCCAGGACACACTGAGCGTCGATCTGGGCATCTGAGAGGCCTCACAGAAGAAAATGGAAATCCCTGCATGTGTGGACGGGTGTCCTAGGATGACAGCGGCTCAGAGCTCCTCCTGTCCTGAAGGACACTGTGCACCTAGGTGAGCAGGTGCCTAGAGGGAGGTCTCGGTGTGGTCAGCTGGAGGGAGGTGCTGGGCTTTAAAGATGAGCTTCTCAAACCTGAACCCGGGTAGAACCACCTGCAGACTGGTTAGGATTAGACCCTACGTCGGCGAGTCTGGAGTGAGATCTGGGTGCTGCTGCTGGTCTGTGGACCACACTTGGAGCACCAAGGCTCTCAAGCGGATTGCTTTGTGCACTGGCCCTTCCAGGGTCGATACGAGGAAATAATGTTAGTACCTGCCACAGAAGTGCATTGCAAAGAGTAAACGAGATGACTCAGCCCTTAGCATTAGCTATAGATTATCTGCATTTAGCAATGAGGAAACTGAGGCTCCAAGACCTTATCTCATCCAGGAGCACCCGTGCAAACAGGAAGTGGCACCAGAATCCCAGGGCTTGGTCTCGTGCCTGCTCCCCGGTCTTGCCTGGAACTGACCTCATCACACAAAGCTTCTGAAGGGCAGCACGGCTGCAGAGTCACACATTCACTGCTGTTGTTGCCGTTCAGCCTCGAAGAGTTTTCTGCCTTGAACTTCCTCCTTGTATCAGGTCTGAAAACACATCAACCTCACGCACCCTTTTATCACACAGAGCGTTTCACCCACGTCATCGCGTTTCATCCTCGGATGGTCCCCGTGGAGCAGGCTGCTTGCACTTCACACACAAGGAACAGAAGCTGAGACGGGCAACCTCCTCGGCCTGTCGTCACAGGGTCCGAGATCTAGACAAGATCGTGACATTCTTTTCCAATCGCTTGCCTTTGAACTTGCTGAATGCAGTAGGTTCTTACCAATGAGAGCTCTTCCTCAAATAAAGCCAGGCAGGAAGTCTGGTTTGTGAGCAGAGAGCAGAGCAGGGTGAGGGCTGGAGCCCAGATGCTCAGCCTCTCTTCCTGGGGCCCCTTCCCAGATTGGAAACTGGATCTAAGTCACCACTCTCCTGGAACAAGCAAGCGACTTGGGGCCAGCTGGGGCCGGACTCCTGGCAGGAGGGAGGACAGCAGTCCCTGCTCACCCATTAGCTGAGGGATATCGAATGAGCCGTCATTCTTAGGGTCTAGTGCACCCACCTCATTGGGCCAAATGCCATGTTCCTCCTGTTGATTATATCCTTTCCAGACGCCTCCTCCCTCTCATCCCAGGGACAGGCTTTTTATTTATTGGACATTTCAAAACTGAAATACAACACAGACACACAGAACACTGCCCGAGCACATCGGTGCTGAGAAGCAGCGTGCCACCGGCTTTCGGGGACAGCACGCCTTACTGCACTTCGCTTGCTTTTCTGGACATCCCTCCACACAACTGCCCAACGCTGCCTGTTTGGAACTCTACGTAAATGGGATCGTGCCTCTGCCTCTGTGATGCTTGTGCCCCAGGGTGTGATGGTCGAGCCCAGAGGTTCGCCGTTGCAGGCTGTGGGCCAGGTCATCCGTTTCTTAGCTGTCGAGCTGGACCGAATGAACACACAGGATCCGCTCTTCTGCGATGGGGTTTGGGCTGTTTCCGATTTGGGACTATTGTGGGCAATGCTGCCCCACACCTTCCTGCAGGGAGACTTGCTCCTGTGTGTCCAGGGAGAGCGAGGCCCAAGAGGGCAGGACTCAGAGGACAAGCAGCCAGGCCTGGCCCCCTGTGAGGAAACCCTCCACCTCCCCGTTTCTCCGCACCCTCTGCCCCGAGCCTGGGGGCCATAAACACAGCCAGCAAAGTAGATGCGTTTTCAAGGTTTTATTGTAAAACAGAGATTAAGTCACAGGGAGCAGGAAACTTCCACTGGACATATGCAGCACATATACAACCTGTATACAACACCATAAAGCACATATACAACATGTATACAGCACACACACACCATGTATACAACACCCATGCAGCACATATACAACATGTATATAACACACGTATAGCACATATACAATACGCATACAGCACATATACATGTATACAACACACGTACAGCACATGTATAACATGTATACAACACACATATAACACATAGACAACACACATTCAGCACACATTCAGCACATATACGACACATATGGACGGGACACATACATGCTCGGCCCTGGAAGACCGGGACACGTGAGTCCCCGTCCCTGCCCCAGTGTGGACAGCACCCAGACGCACAGCCCCTCCAACAAGCCTGGGCGTCAGAGTGCGGCGATGGTGAAGGAGCGACCCACTCCTCGGAGAGAGGGAGGCCGAGCGCCGCTGTGCCGGGGACACTGCCGGCGGCCGCGAGGGTCTGGAGTGGCGATGGTGCTTGGGCCTGGGCAACGGGGTCCAGACTTACAGGAACGTTTCAGGGAGAAAAATTAGGGACTAACATGGTACGTTAACGTCTCATTTTTACAGGCTAGGGTATAAAATAAGGAGGAAAAATTAAAAGGAGAAGTACTTTCACCATAATTTTTCACAAACACAGGAATATTTTAATCTCTCACCCCCTTCCAGAAAGAACATAATCCCCAAATAAAGCACTTTTTAAAACTGGATAAAGTAGGCTTTTAAAAATACCATGAAATCCTTATTTTTCATTTTGCCACAGACCCTAAAAGAGATGCTATCCCAAGGTTTGCAAAACGAGGTTGGGGAGCCACTTGATGGGAGTGAGTGAGTGGCTTCAGGGACTGGGGGTGGACAGTGGGGCGGGAGAGGACAGCAGAGGGTGTGCGGGCGGCCCGGTGGCCCGGGTGCTATCCGGAAGGCACAGGGGACACAGGAGGTAGGGCTTTGAGCTGCGCTGGGATTCGAGTTGCACTTTAGAAAGACCACTGTGGGGGCAGCATGAAGGTTGTGTCGGCTGAGGGGCTGCAGACGGAGTCCTGAACCCGGGCTCCTGCAGCTCCTTCTGGGGCTCCACCAGCAGCTGGGACCACGGGCTGGGGTGGGGGCACCACTAGTCCTGCTGGAAGTAGAACTTGGTGACCCTGACGGCCTCCTTGGGCGTGTTGGTGAGGCTGACGGGCTGGTCGGCCTCCAGCGCTGTGCAGAGGAACCAGCCCGGGCAGGCGGCGGACTCGAAGCTGGTGGTGGGGCCGCTGTCGGAGCGGATGAAGGCGAAGCGCTTGTTCTGCTCCTTGGTCTTGCTCAGTTCAGTGATGTTGACCTCCTGGAAGGCAAGAGGTGAGCGGGTGAGAGCTCCTGCGCCCCCCACGCCCCACCAGGGGCCTCAGGCCGCCCGCAGTAAGGGACAGAGCAATGCTGACTTAGAGACTCCTGCAGGAGACCCCACACCCCATGGCCACACCTTGGTTTGGAAATCTCTGGCCATTCTCACCAGGAGCCAAAAAGTTTAATGAACACATGGCCCCATCCACGGAGGCCCAGGCCTGTGAGGCCGAGCTCGGCTCGGGTCTGTGCCTCCGAGGAGGGGACAGTGCAGACGGTGGGCGGAGTATCGCAGTCCCTCTAGCGTCATCCCTACTCCACACGGAGCAGGTGGTCGCTGTCAGGAAATGTGCCCTGCCCACTGGTGGAGTGACGTTATGGCCACTGTGGGTATGGCCACCTGCCTCGCAAGCTCCTGAGACAAAGCCGTCCTTTGTGAGAACAGCCCATTAACACTGCGTGGGACCAAGTGTGCGGGGCGGTGGATGGGATGCCAACCCACGGGTCTGAGCGGACGAGGACTGGGCGGGGCTTTGCTGAAAGAGGCCAAGTCTAAGGGGGTTGGAGGCCCTTGGACAAGAGAGTGGCACACGGAGACCGAGGTCCCCAAATGAGCCTCCCCCTGGTGCAGACCCCTGTGTTGTCCCCTCCCCCACTGCTGCTAGACTCAGCCGCATGACGGGCTTTGACCAAGGGGACATGAGCCGTATGATGCAAGCAGATGTTTAATATGTGCTTGTGGTCTTGCAATAATCCCTCCTGGAAGCCAGCGATCATGCTGTAAAGAAGCTGAAGCTGAACGTCAAACTCTGGGGGACCTGTGGGAAGAGCCTGGGGAAGGAGAAACTGCCTGCCCTGGCCAGCCTCCCTGCCAAATGTAGCTGCAGGAAGGGCCCCGCCACCCCGTGCGAAACACAGCCACCAGCTGCTCTCGAGAACCCACAGAACCCTGAGAAAGCACGTTTGGCGGTTGGTCAAGCCACCGGGCTTGGGGCGGTTGCTTCCGAGGCAGGGCCTTACCTCCAGCTGCAGCCTGATCTCGTCGCCGGCCTTGACACAGGCCAGGCACAGCTTCCCGCCGTGGATCCCCAGGAACACGGCCTGGGGCTCGACGGGCACCACGTCTATCTTCTCTGTGGGAGAGCAGAGGGGAAGTTCAGCTTGTGGAGAGGAGGCGTCCCAGATGGAGGCGAGCCTGGCCTCCCTGGGGCTCTTCCGTCCCCCTCATTGCACCCAAAGTCATAGGACAGGGAGGTCCCATCTTTCTGGTCTGCATCCAAACAGAAGATCAATCCACGAACAACCACCTCGCTGCTCCTCGGGGACCAGGTCGCCCAGGTTCTGCTCCACCTGATTTCTAGCCTTCCCTCGATCCCCGGGACACCTGTGCCTCAGGTCAACCAGGGTGCTGCTCGTGGGCAGGGAATATCGTACACGCGGTGTTGCGTGGGGCCCCAGGTTTGGTGACTTTGCGCCTGCGCCCCCCCGCCCCCCAGTGTCTCCGGGCCTCACGGAGCAGTAGGAGCCCAGCCGCCTGCTTCCGCATGTGTATTAGGAGCAATGCCAGGAAAGGCAGGTCTGGCCCTCCTGCAGGTAAGGAGGGGGCGGCAGGGTAGGGGACAGGGTGGGGAGATGGAGGTGATGCCATGCCGGCGACAGGGCGTGAAAGCATCCCAGAAGCCAGCGCTGGGGCCCCCATCATGGCACCCGTCTGCCTCGTGGTACGAAAGGGGAAACGGAGACAAAGACTGGGGGCAGCTCTCCGGTTCATCTGCTTTGTTTAGAATCTGGCCCAAAACTCGTTGGATGTGTGTCAACAAGTAAGGGACGAGGCCAGCTGTGTGGTGTGTTCACTGTGGGAGTGAGTGAGTTCAGACACACAGGGACCCGGGGCTGACAGGCCCAGGGGGGAGGGAAGGCTGGATCTGGCCTCATGCCCACCCCAGCTGTGGCCCGGGACCACTGCGCCTGCGGGTGGTGGCTCCCCACCTAGGCTCTCCCGTCCCTGCACTCCTGAGGCTGCCCTCACAGGTGCCCTCCAGGGACAGGCCTCCCCAGCAGGATCAGGACGGCACAGAGGCCGCCCGGCTGCAGACCGCAGGCAGAGTGACCCTGGGCGCACACATCGGCATCCCTGGGAGCTGCTCACCTTCTAACTGAGTGTTTGGTCCTTGCAAGTATCCAGCGACGAGCTGGTTATTCCTCAGGTAGAAGGTCTTCTGGTTAACATCCCAGATTCTGAGAAGCAAAAGGACCCATCGTACTGGACAACGCTGCACCCTGCCCTGGGCCCAGCCCCTTCTCGTGTGCCCCGGAATCCGCCGATCTGCCTGGGGAGTGGTTTCGCACACCCGTGGCATGAGGGGACAACCGAGGCGAAGCTGAGTAGGAGACAGGCCACTCCGCGCCTGCTCCTCGTCCCCAGGCTCCAGGACAGCTCCTGGATTCAGCCCTGGAGCAGCACCTGCCGGGGGGACTTTCCGGGGCAAACTGGTCTCTGTCTGCTGTCCCACGTGGTAGCCACCAGCCCCTCATCACTACCGAGCTCTTGAAATGTGGTGCGACTGAAGATCTGAATTTTTAAATTTTATTTTACTTTTATTCATTTAATCTTATTAAGTATTAATTTAAATGTAAACTTAAAGAGACCAGTAGCTACCACAGGACACTGTTAGACATTTCAAGGGATGAGGTCTGTCCTCCATCCACCAGGGGCTTGCTTCCTCTAGCAGGGGCAGCTGTCCCTGGAAGGGGTCAGCTTCCTGTCCAGCTCACCCGGTAGCCCGTTTCTGGCTCCCAGTCTTTTCTTCTCGGTGACAGGCCCCTCCAGCCTAAGACGGATGTGGGCCTGCCTCTCCCTGCTGACCACCAGCCCGGCCACGGGCCTGTGCCTCATCTCCTGTCCTGTGACGCATGGCTGACAACACTGCCTCATCAGGTGGCTTTGAGGAGCCCACGAGCTTGCTGAGGTGGTGGTGCAGACTGTGAAGTCCTTTGCACGTGCAAACATTTGACCTTTTGTCATTATGCTTAGTTCTGGATGAGTGTCCATCTGAAGGGACTGAACAGCCCCGACCGGAGGCCTCCAGGGGCATCTCCTGGAGCTCCCAGCCCACAGGGGTGGCACCGCCACCCCTTCCCACGTCTGAGAGGGCGAGGACTTGCCTGGGGTGCACAGGCACACAGCCGACCTGCAGCCTCAGGCCAGAGGTCTCGGCACCAGAGGTGAGGTCTCCCAGACACGCTCCGTCCAGGGGTAACAGGGCAGAGGGCGCATGTAGACGCATGGCAGCCTCTCATTTTCACAACCGTGATGATGACATCTCACAAAGCTCCTGGCCCAGTTTTTAAAAATCACAATAGTTTGGGGCACTTCATCGGCCCCAGAGGACTATCACACCGTCATCTCCACAGCCACTGTGTCGGGCAGGCAGGCGGTCATTGTAAACCCCATGTCACAGACGGGGAAACTGAGGCCCCAGCGGGCGGCATCCTCCACCGAGTCAGCAGACAGATAGAGCTTGGGGCCACGCTACACCCGGTGTCCTCTCTGCTTCTTTGCCCAGCACGCTCGGCCCAAATCCCAGCTGGGCCCCTGGGCACGGTCCATCACGCGCTGAGCAGCCTCCAAAGCCAGCCCAGCGTGCGCATCGGGGATATTTTGAAACACAAGCTCGGAAGCGTGTACGGCAGCCCCCCGTTCCCATAACGGACATCTTTCCGGCCTAGACATACCGGCTGTGCTGTGTCCACCCCTCCGTCAGCCTTACCTGAACGCTTGCATCACGCAGGGTCTCTTCCCTGAGGGACGGCAGGCGGTCTCTGAAGGGAACAGGAAGAGGAGGAGAGAGATGAGGTGGCTGGGGGGGGCCCTGCACATGTCCATCCTGTGGCGCGGCGGGCAGTCGGGACTGCCATTCCGGGCCCGGAGCAGCTGCTTATAAAGAAGATAAGCGCTCAGCCAAACCGTGGTCGCCGCCCTGTCCTCTCAGAAGCGGAAATGCCCTCACATTTCCAAAAAGAGAAACCTTGCTGTGGTCACCATCAGCCCTGCCAGGTGTCGCAATGCAGTGTTGTAACCGTCCCGCCCCTTTTCCCGGGTGTAATTTCCCCAAAATGGACATTTCCGTTTCCCTTCACTGAGTTCCTGGGAAGAAAAGCACCACGAAACCAAACACCCTCATCTGCCCGACGGGTGTCCAGGGACTGTTTGTCGACCGACTTAAAACAAATTTGGAGAACGCGAGGCACAGGCACATGGGACAGACTGACAGCTATCGGGACGGGGGGGAGGGGACTGGATGAAAGAAGGTGAAGGAATTAGCCAAAGAACATAGCCCATGGACACAGTGTGGTGATGGCCAGAGGGGGGGCTGGGAAAATGGGGTGATGGGTGCACAATGCAGGGTGCGATGATGTTTTATGAGTTGTACCCTTGAAATCTGTATAGTTTTATGAACCAATGTCACCCCAATAAATTCAAATTAAAAAAACCAGCAACAATGAATTCGAGTAAAAATATCCTTTTCTAATGCTGAGTGCCAGTGCCCCAGCACAAGGGACAGTCCCCTGACGTTGTGTCCTTTGAAGGAGGGACAACCATGCTGGACTCTGGACCAGGGACTGGGAACATTCTGTAAAAGGACCAGACAGTAAACATTTCAGGATCTGTGAGTCTCATGATGACTCACCTCAGGGCTGTAGTTTATTTATTTATTTTTTATAAAGTTATTTTTATTTTATTACTTTTCTTTATTGATTTTAGAGAGAGAGGAAGGGAGAGGGAGAGAGAGATAGAAACATCGACGAGAGAGAACATCGATTGGCTGCCTCCTGCATGCCCCCCACTGGGGATCAGGCCCCCAACCTGGGCATGTGCCCTGACCGGGAATCGAACCGGTGACCTCTTGGTGCATGGGCCGACGCTCAATCACTGAGCCACACCAGCCAGGCAGAGCTGCTGTTTAAAAGCAGTTAAAATTGCTGTAACTGACAAGCTGGTCGAGCCCCGTCTGACTGGATGTACAGATGGCGTGGCTCTGCCTGGTTTCCTGCCCCTGCTCCAGACCCCGCTTCCTGGGAGGGGCTGGCCCGCTCTGCTCCTGTCCTCCAGCTCTCTGAGGTTATATGGTCTTGGGGCACTGCAGTGAACTCAGCACCAGGTCAGAAATGGATCCGAATTCCACCTCTGCCACTAGCCTGTAGCCACCTGTGTGACCTTGAACAAGTCACTTCCCTGATTGGGTCCTCTGCCTCCTCGTGCTAAGAAAGGGAAGAGAAGGGACAGGAGGAGAGGGGAGGGCAGGGGAGTGTTCTGGCCCACAGTAGGTAGTACGAAACATCAACTTCCCTACTTAGCACATTCTAGAGACTTAGGGAAAAGGTCAGCACACTTGTCTCTATGGGTAGAACGAAGGCCAGAGGGGTTTCTACGGGACCTGGGCGATGATGGGAACTCCGCAGTCCTCCTACACCCAGGAAGGAAAGGGACCTGCCCCAGGTGTCCAGCTTGTTAATGGTACAAATGTGACTCCCAGTCAGGGGCCGCGTCCTGAAGCAGTCGACGTAAGAGTCTGACTTTATTTTCAACCAACAAAGTAGAGCCTATGTCCAAATGAGGGTAAACCCTTCAAAGAGAAAGGTCAAAATGTATATTTGAAAGCTGGTCAAAGAGCACCCAGCTGGTGTGGCTCAGTGGTTGAGCGTTGACCCAGGCACCAAGAGGTCGCCGGTTCAATTCCCGGTCAGGGCACATGCCCAGGTTGTGGGTCCAATCCCCAGTGTGGGGCATGCAGGAGGTGGCCAATCGATGTTCTCTCTTCGATGTTTCTATCTCTCTCTTCCTCTCCGTTCTTCTCTCTCTAAAATCAATAAAGAAAAAAAAATTTTTTTAAGTTGCTAAGAGAGCAACTTTCTCATCACAAGAAAGAATTATCTAAAAAGTTCTCATCACAAGAAAAAAAATTATCTAACCATGCGTGATGACAGGCAAATCATTATGCTCTACACCTGGAACTGATATAATATGTTAATTATGACTCACTAAAGAAAAAGAGGAAGTTACTAAAGAATTTCCTAAATCTTTAAAGAGCTCATCATGAGAGCAAATGGAATATTTCTGCAAAAACTGGATCCCCTCCCTGGTGTCTGCTTGGAGAGGCCAGTGGCTCATCTGTTCTGCTGCTCTGTGCTCCCGGCCCTGTACGTTGGTGGGAGTCGTCCACCCGCTGAGATACATTTGAGAAATGGTATCTGCCTTTGAGAGCCAGGGGGCGATTTGTTTGTTTTGTTAGTTTCAGGGGAGGGCTGCTTGAAGGAGGTGATGTGTGCGAACCCACAATCAAGGTCCTGCCCCCATTTTGGCTCCTGGGCATGTGCCTTGGTCCCCAACCCAGATTCAGAGACAGATTCTCTTGGGGAGCCCAAGCTGTGGGCTCCCACCTTTCACAGGTGTGTCCCTTTGCCTGCTGTGCCCAAGAAGTGGCCCTCTGGCCTTTCTGGGTCTGGGGTGGACGTACCTGGAGCTGGGCAACCTGGACTAGGTCCTCCCATGTCATTTATGAGCTGGGCCTCCCAGGACATGTGCCCAAGCTCTCTTGGTCCAAGTTTCATTATCCATTAGCCGAAGACAATAAGGGAAGCCTTGTCGTGGGCGCTATGAGGACCGAGGATGGCACATGGTGTGTTTAGCCCTGAGCTTGGCGTGTAGGAAATATTCAGACAATAGATTGTGACTGAGTGTGTTTGTCATTCCAGGTAAAATGAGTGAGGTCAATCACAATGCCCTTGACCCAGTCAGCCCTGCCCTGCACTCGGGCCCTTGCCCCCCGGGGTGGGCAGGAAGCAGGGGCAGGAGAAGCTCCCTCCCTCCCCGCATGCTTCTGGCCACGGTTCCACTCGGTTCCGTCTTACAACAGTTGAGGTCCCGACCAACAGAAAACCTCTGACTAAACTTATTCTCAGTCCTGGTGCTCAGAGCTTCACTCTGCTTCCTGAGTCAAGTTTAATGACAGCACCACGCAGTGGACTTGGCCCTCCCAGTGGCCCCTTGTCCTCCCCTCTGAGCTCCAGGCATCACGACCGTGTCCAGCGCCTCCCACGTGCTGAGCCCTGCCCCACCAGACACTGTGACTGCAGAAGTCACCAAGTCCCACTTACAGGGAGATAGAAAAACCAGGCTGTCCGTGTCCTAAGAATGACACTAGGCAGGTGGACGGGGACCTCAGGTCGGGCCCTGGTTGTTGATACCTGTACAATGTTTGGTACAGTGCCATTCACATAAATGCCATCTCTCTCTCAATTTCAGTTAATTGTGTCTTTCAGTTCTAGAGTTTACATTTGGTTCCTTTCTTGCATAGTTTACAGTTCTCTGCCCAAAGTCTCAGTCTTGTCTTTTAAGTCCTTCAACATTTTATTCGTGGTTCATGCAAAGGCTGCACCCTCCCGCCCCCCCCAGATAACTCCTCATTGGAACCCCTGCTGGGTTTCCTCCTGTTGTCTGTTTTCCTCCTGTGCACACCTGGAGCACCCAGCTCAGGTGACTGGGGAGGCTGTACCACTGGGCCCTACAGGACACCAACTCCATAAGGTCACTCTACCAAGTTCAGGAGACATAGCAGTTCTACCTAATACATAGAAATAAACATAGGAAAGCAGACAAAATGTGGAGACAAACAAGCATGTCCCAAATGAAAGAACAGGAGAAATCTCTAGAAAAAGAACTAAATAAAATGGAGGCAAGCAAACTACCAGGTACAGAGTTCAAAACAATTGTTATAAGGATGCTAAAAGAACTTAATGAGAACTTTAAGGAACTTAGTGAGAACTTCAACAGCATGAAAAAGGACATAGAAACCATAAAAAAGGACCAGCCAGAAATGAAGGATACACTAACTAAAATGAAGAATAATATACAGGGAATCAACAGTAGAGTAGATGAAGCCAAGAATAAAATCAGCTATTTAAAATATAAGGAAGCAAAAAACACCCAATCAGAACAGCAATAAGAAAAAAGAATCCCAAAAAGTGAAAATAGTGTAAAGAGCCTCTGGGACAACTTCAAGCATGCCAATATTCGCATCATGGGGGTGCCAGAAGGGAAAGAGAGAGAGCAAGACATTGAAAACTTTTTTGATACAGACTGACAACCCTCAGAAGAGGGAGTGGTGGGAGGAGGGAAGAGATAAACCACAGAACTTATATGCATGTGTGCATAACCAATGGACACGGACAACAAACCTGGGTATGGGGTGAGGGAGGTGGGAGGAGGCTATCAATGGGGAAAAAAAGGAGAAACATCTGTAACAAAAATAAATTAATAAAAATTTTTTAAAAAGAGAAAAAAAACTTATTTTAAAAAATAAAGACAGAACATGTCTCTAACCTGGTGAAGGAAATACACATACAAGTCCAGGAAGCACAGAGAATCCCAAACAAGATAAATCCAAAGAGGCCCACACTAAGACACATCATAATTAAAATGCAAAATGTTAAAGGCAAAGGGAGAATCTTAAAAGCAGCAAGAGAAAGACAGTTACCTACAAGTAGCTCCCATAAGACTGTCAGCTGATTTCTCAACAGAAACTTTGCAGGCCAAAAGGGAGTGGCAAGAAATTATTCAAAGTTATGAAAACCAAGGACCTACAACCAAGATTACTCTACCCAGCAAAGTTATCATTTAGAATCAAAGGACATATAAAGAGCTTCCTAGACAAGAAACAGCTAAAGTAGTTAGTTCATCATCACCGAACTAGTATTACATG